TGAAACGATAATTAATATACGTAATAGTATTTACTGCATTTGGATGATTCTTTTGGGAATCTGTTTCCTTAGTTAAGAGCAGAAGAACCATGGCATATACGATTATTCCAAAAAAGACCTACATTTTAAAGTAGGCAAGATAAGGAATTTAAAAAAAGAAATAAAAATACAAAACAAAAAGCAAAATTATAAAGTTTCTGAACTTGAAATGCTTCTTCAAAAGAGTTGTTCTGAATCAGAAAAAAAAAAAAAAAAAAAAAAAAAAAAAAAAAAAAAAACATTGCAAACTATCTTCTTGTCTAAAACTGCAGGATTAATTTTCTTTATGATTCTGCTAAGCTCTGTATTTTGGAAGAACATTAACTTCCAAAAGAAAATTTAGTTTTGTCAAAAGATCAACGTTGTCAGAAGCAGTTGGCAGAAAATACGTGAACAGCTCTGTAAATAACTGTCCCCAGCCCCCCCGTGTCCCCCACACAATGCAGGTGGGCGGTTTGGGTTAGTGGTCTCTGTGCAGAGCTGGTCCCCTCCGGCACGGGACACGCGGCAGGGCAGGGTGGTGCATCGCAGAGACGTCTGGCCAAGGCTTCACAGGTGCCGTGCAGCCGTGGCTGGTGAGCAGTGAGATGATTTCATGCTGTAGTTCTGACCGTGACTGCATCCGGCTCTTAATTATTCGTTACCTGCCACTGCTTGTTCATCACATTGCCATTATGCAATGGCTTGTAGTAAAAAAAGGTCAGGAAACTCCACGTATTCAGAGAAACCTCCATGGAGAATCTTTACAGGGAGACCTTTATTAGTATTGATTGTACACGTCAGCACTCTGTGAAGCTCCTCAAAGAAAGTATCCAGACAGAAGCCCTTCATCAGAGGCAGGGGCAGCTGAAAAAAAGCTTCTCGTAGGTAGGACACTCGATGAACAAAACTGAGACCATTGCCTAAAGATGATGAAAGATGCCTGCTACATGATGAATCTGCTGGCTGCACTAGGTAGGTATACTCGTCCCTATTTTATTTTTCATCCCTTTTCATGAAGATGTGCAAAACAGGGAATCATAACATGAAGGCTGGTGTAGTTTCCCTAATTTTCAGCTGCTGAGGGCTCTGTACATCCTCCACACAACAGGTCTAATGCATTTTTGCATTGAACTGAATCTGAGAAACTGGATCTTGTAGGTGCATTTCTTATTAATGATGATGTAGTCCCCGGACACTGAGAATCCATACATATCCCGTCTGTGCATGGTCATCTTATTTTAAAAGCAGAGGATCATTAGGTCCACTGTTAAACATGACGGGTAAATATTAAGATGCATATAGCACACAAATATTTATATATAAACGTACATTCAAATCCATACAATAAATCTTTTTCTCTTTCTTTTTCTTTCTCTCTCTTTCTTTTTCTTTCTCCTTCCCTCCTCCTTTCCTTCCGTACAGTACCCCCCAGAAATCCTGAATACAGTTTGCCCGTGTGACTTGATTGATTATAAATGGGAGTTGCTCAACCTTACTGACTTGTACAACCGCAGATTGAAAGCCATAATTATCAATACTCTGCCTGGGCATCACAGATGCCTGGACTTAATTTGTCAGCCATGTGCTGAACCCAGCAACTTGCATTTCCTAATAACTACCTTGTAGAAGTACCAGTGTTAACTTGCTTGTACCTGTTAGAAACATGGTCCTGGAACGTTCTGCAGTGTCAGGGACTCATTAAGTCCTTAATTGTGTTGTGTTTTGGTTTACTTGCAGCTCACGGTTTATCCTGACACCTGAGTATGAGCATTGCACCATCAAAACCCTGAGCACTGGGTATTTACATTTGCAGATAGTCAGTCTCTAGATATCCACCCAGGACTGAACGATGTGGGCATGGTGGTTTAAGAGTCCCACTTCTGAACGATCTACAGCAGCATCAGCAGACCAGCGCGAGCATCTCTGCTGGCACTAGACAAGGCAGCGCCATCCAGCCAAAAGCACAGTATTTCTGCCCCACTCGATCTTTGGTGTGCAGCCACCACCACCACCCTCCCCATTGTGTAGCTGGAACATGAGATACTGCTACATGCATTGGTGGCCTTAGAAATTATTTTCAAGTTTTTGGCACAATCTGGGAAGTGCTGGGCACATTGTGGAAGACTCAGCCACTCAGAAGAAATGGAAATGAACAGAAATATTTAGCATAAACACATTTTGTGAAGTTCTCATGAAGAAGATTTTTGACATTTAGGGTGCGGTAATTCAGCCCTGAATAGGAAATATTTTATTTGATCACAACAAAGACTGAAGTCAAGTGCTCAAAATATCTTGTGAGATGCAGTCTTCCTTCTCCATTTGCTTTCCAGGTGTGTTTGATGTGCCTCTATCCCTGACCGAGTGCACCCTGGGCACCCACCCCACACACAGCCCTGGGAGGATGCCCTGGCAGATTTGGCAAGGTTTGGGCAATGGTGGTGGGAGATGGACAGGACAGGGCAGGAGCTGGCAGCGGTGAAGGGCAGGAGCAGCAATGCCGTGTGCATGAACCATGGGGGTGTCCAGGACAGAGCCTTTGCAAACCCATGTCTGTAGCCCTATTTGCTTTGCTCCTGCTGTCTGGATTTACAGTTTCAAATGCATGAGTAGCATTTGAACAACCTGCAGATAAAAAGCAGTACCACTCCCTGTTTTCGCATTGACAAAGACATGCCCATATAGCTCTGCTTCCCAAGTGTCTGAGAAATCTTTGTCTCTTTATTTTTTCCCCTTGTTGGTATGAAAGATAGCCTTTTGTGCACGTTGTATTAATGTGGCAATAAAATGCAAAATATTGTTAAAATCTCTTATCCTTTTGCTTGCATGCCAAACAAATGTCTGATAAATATTTACGGTGGGTGTTTGCTACATTATCCTTTTTAAGTAACAGGGACAGATAAGGTCACATTTCCAGGGGCAACAGAATTATATGGTCTGATTGAAACCCCAGAAAGATAAGCACTCAGCATTAGCAGAGGGAAATAAAACTGAAGACCATGAATTTGGATTAATGAAAAGAGTAATGAATGATAAAAGTTCTGTTGGGCAGAAATATCAGTGACTGCAACCCCCATTATTTGCAGCATTTAATTTTACATTTCAGTAAATAGAGTGATAGTTCTCAGTGCTAGGCATCGTTAGAAAACTGAATAATTGCAATGCTACTACATTCTGTATCTGCTGGAGATCGCTTTATAAATGAAAATTAACTATATCCAGCATTGTTTTTCTGCTTGAAAATATTTACCATCCACAAAGACAGTTGTCCATTAAAACCTACGGACCCAGTTGTCCCACTAAAACCTATGAAAAATATTAATGGATTTCCATTTTTTCTCTCAAACTACCACAGACCTCTTTTGTTATAGCCAGATAAATTATTTGCATGCTTTTATTATTATAATTTTAATCAGGTTTATTTTAATACTGTTCCAAATATTTTATTCTCAGTATTTAGTAGGAGGTTTCTGGCAGAACTAGTTTTTGAATGATACATGTTCCTAACTTTTACCCACCAACATTTTCTTGAGTTTGTGCAGGTAAGGCATAGAGAGCAGTTCCCTTTGTGGTATGAAACGCAACACAGATTATAGCAATATTGTGCACCAACTAATGAATTTTTCTTTTCTGCAAACTCTTGGAGAGATCAAGGTCACTCCCTGCACAGCGTTCGCTGCTATTGCAGGCTGCGAGTTTTTTCACATTGTTGTTGTGGACCCTCAGCACCACTTAATGCTGCGTGACACGTGGCAGCTTACTCGCCTGGTGTGTGCTGTCTGCTCTTTCAGCCTCTCCAAATGGGAGAAGCATTTGCAATAAAGTATCTGGTTAGTACAGGGAATTTTGTTTTCATTGAACGTTCTGACTCCAATAAACACTTAGCGCTTGGTCATCACAGAGGGGACAGTTGATCCAGAGAAATGCAATAAGTACAAAGGAGTACAAAAAAATGAGAGGAGCTGCTCCATTACAAGAGAAAACTCAGTCAGGGAAAAACAAAACAAAACAAAACAAAACAAAACAAAACAAAACAAACAAACAACAAAAAACAAACACTAAACCAACTAAAAAGGATCATTTGTTTCTAAGGAGCAACTCCTGCTCATCTGTGAAGCAAAGCCGTGCAGAGCTTTAGCACAAGAGACATCGAGGCTGCCCATCCTTCAGCTCCTCCAACACAAAGAAACAAATCGCTCCTCGAGGCACAGTGAGGCATCGCGTGTCCTCCTGCCCTGCACCTTGCAGCCCGTAAATACCCTCTGCTGCAGCTCTGCAGCCTGTCATGGGCAGGAGAGCTCCTCCTCCGAGCACTCTGCCTGCGAGGGAAAAGCCACTCCTGTGTCCTTCCGTGCCCACAGCAGCACCCACAACTGCTCATGTTGGCAAAGGAGCAGGAAGGTGTCCGCAGGGCTGGAGGGCAGAAGCAGCAGAACCAACCGATTTTTCCATCTGCATCCTGCGGGTTTTTCTTCAGGTGGGAATGGGACACCTTTCTTCAGAGCAAAAGAGCTGGGCTGAGAAGGGTAAAATTTATTGTTGAAAAAATCAAGTATTATCTTGTGGCAAAATCATAGTTCTTGTGAGGCAGGTTGGATTTCCACCAGCATTTACATCAAACAAGCAAGCAAACAAACAAACAAGCCTCTGTTGCTCCTTCAGTGGTATTTCAACTTTTGTGGAAGTTGACTTTCTTTCCATGCAGCTATCTGTGAAATGGTTACTATTAGTTCATCCTCAGTCTCCCATCTCAGAGAGATATTAAATTTGAAAAAAAAAGAAAAAGAAAAAGAAAAAAAAAAAAAAAAAAGAAAAGAAAAGAAAAGAAAAAAGAAAGCTCCACTTCAAAATGTTCTAACAGCTCAGGGAGGGAAAAAAAAAAAAAAAAAAAAAAAAAAAAAAAAAAAAAAAAAGTGTTCCAAACAGTACACACAAAGCTATTTGACGAAAACACTTGACGGTGACATTTCAGCGATCAAATGACATAAGAGTCACAATTTTGCTAAGACGTCCTGTCCTCACCATCCCCAGGTGAGAGCCCATCCATGCGGGCAGCCAACGCTGGCCGCTGCGGAGGGAGCATTTGCAGCGCTCCATCTCCCCACTGCTGCTTCCAGCGCTTTGGCAGCTCCTGCAGGGAGCCCTGCGGTGAGCAATGCACCTGCCTGGGTGTTCTCCAGGACTGCAGCCCTGTCCCCTTTGTTTTCCATTATGATGGAAAACAAAGGCTGACCACAAGCAGTCCCCAAAACAGCAAGAGTTGTCACTGGACACAGCATTTGTGTCTACGTTCTCCTCAGATGGGGAATTCTCCCCTGAAGTTCAAGCCGGGGCTCAGTCCACCTGCCAGCAACTGCAGTGGGAAACTTGTGGCACCGCAGATCTGCAGCTACTGCCAGCAGCTCTCAGAGAAGCACCGTAAGCACACCACAGAACAGTGATGTTCAGGAAATACCTACCTTTTCATGCTTAGCATTTTATTTTTTCAAATACTTCCATTAGTAATCTGAAATGCATTATTTCTGTGAAATTTCACAGTAAGAAGTTCATCTCCTAAAATGCACATGGAAATGAGAGACATGAACACGACAGTGGTAGAAAAGTGCTATTTGAACTTCTAAACTGTTATCCAAAGAAATTGTTTGCAGGAGCACTGCCCCCTGAATCTTCTGTAAATTATTTCAAATTCAGCAGCTCCAGGGCACATCCAAAATAAACACTGGAAAGGAAAAGAGAAGAAACAACTCAGTAATCTGCTTTCCAAAAGGAGAAAAACTGTTGCAAAGTTCTTTCTAGCCTGCATGAAAATATTTCACTTCGCTCCTCTGACTCATCAGAAACACTGGCAGAAATTTTTCCGATAGAATCCAATTTAACCTCTCAGAAAATACTGTTTCATCAATAAAGCGTCTGCTGCGAATATGCCAATATAGACAAAACTGTTCAGGTAAAAATATGTGAAACGGTATTTTCATAAGAAAGGGATGATGCAACATTTAATTTTTAAACAAACTTATGAATACTATACAGAATCACAATAGCTACAACCTAAAAATATATATCAAAAATAGGTTTGATGGATATTATTCGTTTGAGCAATGAAATACCACGGGCATCTACAGGCCAGGTAATGATCTGTTTGGCTTTGGAAAAAAAAAAGAAAATCCTGTAACTTGAACTGGACTCTTGCAGTCAGAAACGTTGATTCACCTTCTGCTTCAGGGTGGAGGTTTCTCCATGTGCCAGTGCTCCAGGACCCCGGGATGGCAGCCGTGGGACCAGCTTCCTCCAGGCCCCTCTGGGCAGCAGCAGCACTGCGGGATCCGTGTTTGCCATAACACAGCCGCCAATAACTTGTCACAAGCTTTTCTGTGAAGTAGATCAGATGAAACCTAAGGAAGGGTTCAGCAATATCTGCGAGAGACAAAATTAAAAACAAAGAAATAAAGGCAATTCGTAGCTGAAATGGTGGTGTGACGTGGGTCCGTGCTTCTCACAAGGGCCTCTTGATTTACCAACGTCGTTTCATCTTTCTTTGAAGTGGTTTCCCCGCACAGCTAACATCAAAGACATAAATCTCCTTTTCCTTTATTTCTTAAAGGGTCAAAGAAGTAGATGACTAACAGTTGTCAATAGCACCAATTTATTCCCTAAATCCCCTGTGCCATCAAAGGGGATAGCTCTGGTTCCAGCACAGATGAGACCGCTTGGGCTCTCCTGGGGTCAAGGTGCTGGGGGGGCAACGCGCCCCCAGCAGCACTGTGCAGTCCTGCAGCCAGGTATGGATCTTAGCTACGTGAAGGCTTTATAACAAGTCTGAAATGAAGGGAATCAACAGGTTTTCTTTTTTGATTTTCTTTTTACTTTTTTCTTTTTTTTTTTTTTTCTCTTTTGGCAGACATTCAGACTGACATCTCACATCCAGCAAAAGGTTGTGATTTGCTTGTGGGGCAACCCGCCCGTGTGCACAGGCAGTGCCAAGCACAGTGGCAATCCCCAGGCAGGCGTCCCCGTGCTGTGCCCACCTGCAAGGCCACCCCGTGTGGGGACGTGCCCACAGGGCGTCACAGCCCAAGTGCGAGCTGACATCCGAGCTGCACAAAGCAGCTGTGGGATCTCACCCCTGGGGGCGGACTTGCTGGAGGCATCACCCCAGTGGATGTCTGCCAGGTGCAGAGCTTTTATTTGCAAGGGGTCCAAGGGTGTCAGAACAGAAGCTATTGGGAGCTATTGGGTGCCAGACATGTTTGTAATTTCAGCCTTTCTTTATGATAGAAGGGGAACAGAGATAAATATATAGAAAATATAGGAAAAAAAACAAACAAACAAACAAACAAACAAACAAAAAATAAAAGGAAATGCAGAATTTTGTGCAAAAGCACTGAGTTTCTGCAACTCTTTCAAAAACCCTGCATGACTTAGACAGTTCCTCACAGGGAGCCCTCACACGAATGTGAACTGCATGTGAGCAGGGAGCTGCCGCCCAGGTGCTGCTCTTCCACCTCTATGCTCAGCAGAAGACAGACCCTTTTTTTGCTGTTCTCAAGGTCCCCATTTCTTCTTGAAATCTTCCTTTTCTTCTATGTATTATAGTTTGTTTTTCTGGAATTTAACCCTAATTTTATATAATATTGGTTATTATAATGTAAGCAAACAGGATTTCCATTTAGTGCACAGAAAATTATCTTTCAGATGCACGCAGAAATGATACTTGCTCCTCTGATCTGTACCTTGATGGATTCAGTGCTACTCCCTTACAGTGTATCTCTAACTAATTTAGGCAGCCTGAAGATACGGCCATACGCTTCTTACAAGCAACCTTCCTTGTAAAAAGTAATAGTGCTGCTTGTATAAGCCTCTGTAGTGGTTACGGATCACCGGAGAGCACAACCTTTGGAAGACAAGTTCTCACAGAGCAGCGTTCCTGAGGCACATCCAAAGCAGCATAGCCCAGATAACTCTCTGTGGTTTGCGTATATAGGGTGAAAGATAGATTTCCTTACTACAAATTGTAAGAAGATGTTTTCTATCACATTTCTGGGACTTCTTCCTCTTTTCTAGCTGCTCCTGTGAACGAGAGGAGCACTGGATGCAGGCTGACTCACCCCACGAGTGTTGCAGTTACAGGCTGCAGCAGCCCACCCGCTGTCAGTGTAACCTGCAGCGCTGCGCCCGAGGGAGCCCTGCAGCCACCCCCAGGCCAACAGGGAGCAGCAGGCACTCCGGGGTCAGCTCATCTGGCCTAACTTAAGCTCTTCCAGCTGCATATGGCTCATGTACTGCTCTCATTGCCCAGTGACTTTCAAGGGAGTCGAAGAGTGATCAACACAGGGTGAGCTGGTGTGTTATTCCCCAATTCCACTCTACCCCTCCAGACTGGAGGCTGGAGAGGTAACAGGGTGCTGGTTATACGGCTTAGAGGTAAAGCAGCACACCTTTAAAAACTAATGGTACCTCAATCGGCTAATAACCAACACAGCCAGTGGTGTTACTGTACAGCTGTATTGCTGCCGGTGACACTATTACAGGTCTATTGCTTACCATTAGTGCTACCATTGGTGCAGGATTACACTACTGTCGTTCTTGCAGTTTCTTTTCCTTTTCCTTTCCTCCCACGCTCAGTAGCGAGGTACAAGCCTGCCCTTCCTGGCAGCTCTGCCCTTCTCACTCCACACTGGCACTGCAGGGCTGTGGGCACAGCGGACAGTCCGTCGGGGTGTCCGGGCTCCCTCCCACATCCCCACAAGAACTCATGTTTGTTCTCCGTGCAATTTCATCCCTATTGCCTATTTTATCCTTCTTTGAGTTCACCTTTTTGCCAGCCCTGCCACTGCTTTTCCTCACCCAGATTCCACCCAGGTGAACAACCTGCTGCTGGTCACGTCCTCATCGCCCACGCTCCATTACACCCGTGCTCAAGCCCCGTGATCGTGGGGCGGTTTCAGCCCCGTTGTGCCAGCATGGTTCTCTAGGAAAGGTGCCTGTCAGGCTGACCCTATTCCATGTACTGCTTATATTTCATTTTCATGGTGTGATTTTGGACAGAATTCTCTTACTGTAGCCTGCACACTCGTACAGCCTCCTAGTTAACCAGGAGCAGCAGCACGCCGGAGCCATGGCACAGCCTCACCCCTGCTCACACCCCCCTCCTGCCCTGGTTTCAGCCCGGCTGCCTGCGAGGCTCCCCAGAACCCAGCCCGTGCCTCTCCATCAGCAGCAGGGCTGTGTCCCGGCTGAGCAGCGGGGAAAGCAAGGACTGCTGCCATTCTGGGGAGCCCTGCTCCGCGGGATGGGTGCTTGCCGGTACCGCACACACTGCCACAAGCTTCCACAGACAGAAAGTCTTAGCAAGAAAGACACAAGTGAACGGTACTAAGAAGGAAATAAAAACTTATTAGGAAGTTTAACACACTGACTGCTGTTCCTACCTGCCGCTGCCAGCACTACTCTGCTATGTGGGCACAGTAAAAAAAAACTTCAGCATAGAAAATCAATGGAAAAAAATGCAAAACATTTTTTAACACAGGTGGCTGCTTTAGATTATTTATCACAACAAGATTTCAGAGGGTCTCCTGGGGACCCACCATCCGCAGATACTCACAAACCAGTATTAATTCCAAACATTATTAAGACACATTTAAAGCCCTTATTAAATGCAATCAAGTCTGATTTAGAAAGACTGGGAAGGTAAACAAAATTAAAATTAACACACTGCCTGGAATATAAATTCTTTTTCATCCAGCATTTGAGAGTCATATTGGGAGAAAATTAATAACCTTAAGCGGTATTTTTGTGGCCCACTGAGAAAAGAAAAGGTTTGGTTACCCTTGTTAAAAACTCTACCGATTCTTTGGAAGAGGGATCCTGAATCTTAAGTATGAGTTTAATAACGTGATGTTTCTTCCCTGGGATGCTAGAGCACACAGAGCACTTCCACGGAAGGTTTTAGCGTGAGTTTAACTGAACATCAGCCACCGGATAAGGAGCAGAAAGGAGAGACGGGAAAAGCCGAAACTCAGCGCATGGTCTTCCCACAGCCGTGTTCTGCCTGCAAGTGCCCAGCCCGCACCACACGGGCAGCGGCTGAGGAGGCTTTGGGGCAGGTTGGGTGCCCCTGGCCAGCACCGAGCGGAGGCCTGGCTGCATGGGCTGGCCGGCAGCACGATGTAGATAGCATCTCCTGCCCGTGGTGCCATGCCGGGAGCCTGCTCCGTGCTGCCCAGCCCTGCGCGAGCTGGGACACCACAACCCAGCCAGCGGGAGCGGGGCCGGCAGCTCGCCGGGCACCCACAGCCCATGGCCAGACCCGAGGAACAAGGTTAGCAGCAAGCATTCCTGAGCGGTCTGCATGATTGTTGTTTTAATTTTCTTGTTTATAAAATAGGCAGGAGTTGGCAGATGGCAGTGAAAGCAAACAAATCTATTTCCACTGGAAAACAAGTTAATGTCTTAGCTTTTTAATTTTTTGTGAAGTTATTTTCTTGAGAGCTGTTAGATACAAAGCGGTAATCCCTCCTTAATCCATCATAATGCCATTTGCTGAAAGTCCTGTTTTCGCTGCTAATTGGGTTGCTGGAGCTAGACCTCGACGCTTTCCACCAGCCTGACTTCCGAGGGATCACAACTGCGGGGTTAATCTGCCCAAAATGCGTTAAGGCCACTGCGGCCGCCCCCTTCCCGGGCAGGTTCTGGGGCAGCCCCACAGCCTCGGGGCACAGCTCCCCCAGAGGCCACAGCCCTTGGCACACACCTGATGCGGAGGTTGTGGTTACCAAAAATATAATGCCTTCCGAGCTCTCGTGTTTACTGTATTGAGCACCAAGTTTCCCAGTGATGTGATTAATTTTTATAAGAGAACAAACAAACAAGAAAAATTCAGCAGTTGTAGTGTCTGGGGAAGGGAAGGGAAGGGAAGGGAAGGGAAGGGAAGGGAAGGGAAGGGAAGGGAAGGGAAGGAGGGAAGGAGGGAAGGGAGGGAGGAAGGGAAGGGAGGAGGGAGGGAAGGAGGGAAGGGAGGGAAGGGAAGGAGGGAGGGAGGGAAGGGAAGGGAGGGAGGGAAGGGAAGGGAAGGGAGAGGGGAGGGATTTATTCAAGGTCAGAAGCATGGATTTGATTTCTGGCTTCCCAAAGTCATCTCACAGTTTGAGAATTTGGTCATATTCTGGAAGACTAAAAAAAGGGATGACATAAATCAGCACTTTTATAACAGAAGATCAATCCCCTTTCTCATTCTATGGGAAAATAGCATTTTATTACTCTCAGTTTTATAGTAACACTACTGGATAGCCACAGTGTGCATCAGTCCCCAAATGAGAGACAGCTAGTTCAATATCTGTGCAGGCTGAGGCACAGTCTGCAGTCTGTGTTCTTTTTGGTATTTTAAAGGAAAATGACTAGGAGCAAAAGGAATTTATCACCTGGAATTTGCAGATGCTCCTGGCTCAATGCATTATTCACCAGGGTAGTACGTGCTGCTTCGGAGTGTAGGTGTCAGAGGACTCTGCAGCCCGCATTATCTCAGGCACAAAATCATCCCGATGCATTCATACCTGTTCAGACTGGGGCTGCTCATGTGGAGGCAGTGCAGAAAGGGCGGTGGAGCTTGCACTGACCTCCACCTGCATTCAGTGTGGAGCCAGTCTAAGCAGTCGTGTTACTGACTTCAGTGCCAATTGCTCCTCAGTGATGTATTTTTTCATCAGCATTGTTCAAAGTCACATTGATTCCTTTTTGATATTTTTTCACAACGACCGAGTGCTGAGCAGAGGGTACAGAGGATGGGTGAAGGTGCCTTGCCTGGAGGAAATGTCAGGCACCTGCTGCTGGCCCTGGGCCCACAGCTGTGCGGTGAGGAGCCCTGATGTTATCCTGGGCTCTTCAAAGAACAGCACTGACCCACCCATGCTGCAGACAGTGGGCAATGGCTATGAATGTATTCATCAATCTTCTACATTTAGATAGCTGCCTGCCAGGTGGTTGAGAAGAAATTTTGCTCCAGATTGGTCAGGCCTTGCAACAACAGCATTTCGCTGTCTTTTGGAGTGGTCTTTCTCTAATACTGTCTCAGCGTCACACTTCACAGCGTAGTTTGTAGGCATGATGAAACAACAGTATTTGCACAGGCAATGGCTTTTAGACACACTAGCATGGTTTCAGAAATCAGACGAGTTTTCTTAGAAATGGCCTTGCATGTCCTGATGTAGCTGTTGCAAGCTAAATGGCATTTGCTAATGACCCTGGCAGGCTGCACACCACTGGTAGCACAAACACCGATTGCAGCTGATGGGTGTGTTCCCTTTGAAGAAGGAGGTCTGGCCCCACAGGCCACCTCCAGACCAGTACTGAGGAAAGCAGAACATCAGAATACATAAGAGGAATAAAAGTCTCATCTAAAGAGATTCATTTGTGCCTGTCCTGCAGAGATCTCTGTCCAAGGAGAAAGACGTGTAAGAAATGACTCAATAAGGAAGGGCATTCAGACCAAACCGTGCCCTCCGGCCGTGGGAGGGCTGTGGCGCTGTGCCTCTTGGCTGGCCCTGCAGCAGCTGGGCACGGCGGAGGCTCCAGGTGCCTGCCTCCATCAGGACACACCGGGATGGGGGCTGCATCTGGGGGTGCGAACGGCAGCCAACGGTGGGCATGCTTTCCAATCTGTGCATCACTGTCACTTCCAGCTCTTTCTCACAGCTTTGGTTCATGTGTTTGACCAAAATGTGGGCTGGGAGCAGTGCTATTTTCTGCCGCATGTTTTTCTGTAATCCCACTTTTAAAAGTTATCATATGCCCTTGATCATGATTGAAAGATTATACTGTATTTCCCCTTTTGCAAGTGTAAAACTCAAGCAAAACAGAAATAGCACACTAGCTGTACATTCACCCATTGCAAACGTTCATTTTCTTTAGCTTTATACTAATTTGTAGTGCATGGTTTCAGCATGAAGACTCCGGTGTACTTTAGTATCTTCTGAACAGTGTCACACACTTTGGACATGGAATGTAATGACTTTTCAAAAAATAAAAATAAAAATAAAAATAAATAAATAAATAAATGATTGACATTGTTGTAACGTGTTCTCTGTTTTTCCACAACATGTCTTCACGTTCTCTAACTACAGCTGCCAAACCATCTTATTTCCTATTTTACATATGCTGGCTCTCCTTTGTTCTCTGTTACTTTTGTTGTTCTTCCTACGCCCTCACCCACAGCAAACCCACAGCAAACTCCCAGCCTTGCTGCAGTGCCTGCGGGCGCTCCTGCAGCACGAGCAGAGCCTCCCCAGCCGGGACAGGCACCGCGGGCAGGCTGCTACTGGTGGGCACTGGGGCTCCTGGCAAGGGCAGAAGGATGGGCAGGACAGGCAGGGGACAGGAGATTCTTGGTCTTCCAGGATGGAGAACACAAGGCCTGCAACAGCTCCTTGCCTACAGCTCCTTAGGATGCTGTTTCAGCCCCTCCCTGGGCTCTGTTCTTGTTGGTATTCCTGTGCTCCCCCCTGTTTTTGGAGAAAGTCTTTATATCAGGAAAAAGAGAGAAGCAACGGAGACCGTTTGTGTCTTTGCCGTCTCTCACAATTTAAGATACCGTACTGAAGAACTGAAGCCAAAGCTTAACTTTTGTTGTGGAAACAATCCCCAGTGACCAAATGTGTTTATAGAGAGAATAATCAACTTTTCTTACTGTAAAGACAGCAAAAGAGTCACTTCTCAGCCATTCAACAATGCCATTTTTCCCAGCATCCACATGCATCCTTTGAAAAATAAGATGGAAAGGAATTGAAATAAAAAGCCTTAGTGCAATAATGTCCATTACACCAGACTTTGGTTTCTGAAAATACAAAAGCAAAATGGCAAGCACAGTTCTGAGGATGCTGAGGCCCTCTAAGATTTTGGAAAGAAGAGTTTCAGTCTTCTTTTTTCCAAATGATTTTTTATTTAGTTTTTAAAACTAGTATATTGTTTTTGAGCAAGAAGTTATTTTTCATGACAAATCACATCTTTCTGATATTTTGCCCCAGTTTAACTCTACAGGTTCTATTATTAGTTGAAGTGAAGGTGAACTGGAAATGTAGGGGTTAGATGGGTAGCAGAATTCTCATTTTTGCTGTTTATATTTCTAACAAACCGTATAGCTAGTCAAAGCTGTATCCTTTGCACTGATTATTTGTTCTACCAAGTTATAACCTTTCTTTTTATTATACACTTGAACCAATACGTACATGTGACAAAAATAATGTGAAATAGAAGTTCTCTTTCCACTGATGGGGGGGGCAGGAGGAAGGGACGGGACACGGACACTCCCTTTTTTCACAACATATGTCAAGAAAAAGTGAATATAATTTCTTTCAATTTTTCACACCCTTTTCTAAGCAAAGGTGCCTTAGTTCTTTATTGCTTCTTTTATTTCAAGGACCACTTTCTGCAGACCAGGTCCTGGGTTCTTCTTTTACCCTCATTGATTTCCAATTATTAGGTTTGAACTATTTCTTGTTATCTGAAGTCAGTGGTGAGATTTGCTTAAAATTTCATGTGACTATACAGCTTGTGTTTCTTTCTGTTTTATGTCCAGTTCCATCTGCTTTGCTGGAAGTGTTTTTTGCTTGCTCTTTCTTTTTTCTTTGTCTCTCTTTTTTTGTTTTTGTCTCCCTTTTTCTGTCTCTCTGGCATTCTTTCTCTATCTTTTGTTTCATTTTCTTCCATTTTCCTCTCTGTCCAGCCTTCATCTGCTCGAGCTGTTAAACGAAGACCTGGCTCCCCAACAGCCAGCACCTTCCTGCCCATCCAGCCCAGCCCCAGCTCCCTGCTCCCAGCTCACCTTACACAAACAACAGAAAGCCTTGGATTGTTTCTGTTTTAACTAAGGCTGTATTTGTTTTAAAGTTTCTTTCTCTTTTTTTTTGGTATCTATTTCACATATTTAGGTTCACAATCACTTGGAAAGCTTAATGGCATGTATGAATCACCTTGTTTTCACGAGGCCCCAGAATAGCATTTGTAGCAATTAAACTTGGATTGAACCTGACTCCTTTCTTTTGCCTATGGCAAACTAAACCACAGATGCCAAACAGATTTGCATTAATGAGTTATTTGCTTGAGAGGAAGAAGATATAACCTTTTTTGGTTGTTGCTATGCACATGTATGTTTTGAGAAAGCAACAGCTTACATTGTCTAATTATGCCAAAATAATACAGCAAGGAGGGGCACTCACCAATTAACTTTATTTAAAGCCAGGCACCAGTCAGCGGCGGCAGGACTGGTGCTGCAGATAGGCTCAGCGCCGCGGGCTGGCTCTGCAGGGTGCTTGCCATCGTGCCCTGCCGCAGCTGCCGTGCCGAGAGGCTCCCGGCCACCGAGCAGGGCTGGGCTGCCTCTGCGAAATTAAAAATGCATTTGTAGGTGCTCACAGAGTGTAACATATTGTGGCACTGATTCTGAACCCAGAGAGCCCATTAGCAGGCTAATTAGATGCTGTGTATAATCCACGAGAAAAAAAATTATACTATTACAATCGTGTTCATTCGATTTCACAATGAGAAAGCATTTTTGAAATACAATTACATTTTAATGAGTTAAGGATATAAACGCATCAAGTGAAAATTCTCAAGTAATAGGGCTTCACCTATTCTTACAAGGGGGAGCAGCTTGCACAACACGCCTGAGTGCTGGAAGTAAGAACTCGTGAGCAATTTCCATTGCCATGGCCATAATGCTGCAGGTGTAATTAAATGCAAGAAAAACAGACTCAGCTGAGGGTGATGAAAGGCTTTCAGTGTGCCTTGGGATAAACCTGCATTTCCTCCATATTTCTCTCTGCATTTTCTTCTCAGACAAACATGTATTATGGCCCACTGTTGCCAGTCACACATCATCTGCATTAGGTGAATATTGAAGCCTTGCCACCAGTTCTTACAGCGCATTTTCCTGTAAATATCAATTTTAGTACTGGATGTTTTTATGAATGAAATTAATGATTTATTTTTGTTGTCATTTCTGTGTAAAAAATAAATAAAATAAGAAAATGCTTAAATCTCTCACTGTAGGGTAGTTCATCAACTGAGATTGTTGTCAACATTTGTTATCCTCTCATTAGATTTTCAAAAGGCTTCACAAACAGACACAACCTTGCTCCTCACTGATTTCCTCCCTGTGCACACAGAGATACAATTGCCCTTTTTGTCAGCATTTCCCAGCTTCATTGCCTTATATTCAGGACTCAAACCTGCTTTCTGCATGCACTGTTTGCATTTCCAATTCCTGATCCTATGAGTTTCTGTGTGGCTATATTAGAAATAAACAGGGTGACAGAATGTCCTTTAATGAGGATATATTGCCCCATCCTGCATCCAAGAATATAACCCATAATCAGGTTATAAGTGATTTTGAAGTAACCACAAATTTCTGATGAGCAATGAATCTTCATCTGTCATAACTGTACCTCTGAGGTAGGGTCTCTCATAAGATTGTTTGAAGATATCCACTGACTTCATCTCTTGGGTCTCATAATTAGCAATTCTACTGGAAACAGTGAAGGTGTCTTTCATATAAAGTACCATTGCCTCCTCCTTCTTTCGTCCATGTTATCCTCTACAATCCCTATCCCCATAATTCATAACTAGAGGCTTTTATAGTCTACAACATGCCTCATACATCAAGATTTTACTTAAGGCAGTTTTCAAATGGTTCTTCAACAAAAGTTTCCAATCTTGCTTCCTACTCAGATATCCGACTTACTACACTGACAGCCAAAAAATATATAGGCTTACTTTTTCTGCTACACTTTTTTTTTTTTTTTCCACAAATCACAGGTGAATGTGTAACAGCTCTGC